AGAAGAATACGGCTGCGTGTCTCTTCGCACTTCTTACATACATGCCGTTTACCTGTAGCCAAACCTTTTATTTAAGAAACGATTTGTCACTCACCTATCCGCAGATCTGAAAGCATCAATGACAAGCTTCCTTCCTCCTTTCAATAAGCTCCGGCAACTAACATGTTTGGCACTGCCGGCCACAGCCGGCGGCAGCGGCGTCTGAACGTACACTGCATTTATTTACCAGACGAATGACTTATAGTGTTTATGTTTATGCACGTCGCGATTGACGTAATTACTACCTTCGCCAGAAGCCATGTTTATTTTGTTTGGATACGGTTGAGTGACGTGTAGGTGGCACGACACTTGCAGCCATGGATGGATGTTCATTATTATTATTAGTTATTGTTATGGGGACTAAGGCTACATGTTAGTTCATGAACGGGCCTTATGGCACGTTATTGCAGTGAACCCTTTGCGTTTGTTGGTTTTTGAACTCGAAACGCTGTGGATGGATCAAGATAATATTTAGTGGGTGGGAAAGGAATGTCAAGTTCGAGAATGGGCCTTGTGATCCTGCGTTACCATAGTGGTATTTGTCGGTGAACAAGATAACTCCAGATGCCGTGGATGAATCATGATAGAATTTAGTAGTTTTGTAGGGTTAGGAAAACGGAGGGTCAAATTTGATTGTGGTCCTCTTGGCGGTTATGTACGGTACTACAAGGGCTTCAAAGTTTTTTAGGTTAACTTCTGGAAGTGTGATGGTCTGGATTTTGATTGGTGGATAGGTTTTGGCCCATAGTTGTATACGTAGGTGCATAGGGGTAGGTGAAAGTTCGGGGGCTCCCTAAAGGCACAGGCTTCATACAAAAGGCCCGATGCACAATACAAACAAGTGTCAAGTTGTAACTGTCTCTGTGAGAAGTCAACTGTGGTGGTCAGACACTGTCTGTTCTCATAACACTGTCTGCTGTAGCAGAGAGCTGATTGAACGGGCTGTTGTGCAATTTTCCTTTCAGTTCGGTTTGCTTGCTTCTGGCATGGCTACTACTCGAATGATCTCTTCCTCTGCAGTTGCATCAATGTCCTCTGTGGCTTTCTTACTCCTGGTATCCAGTTCACTTTGTTTCTTGGCTACGGTACTGGCCTTGTCACGCGATATTTTGCCATGTTCCGCCCAGCAGCGTCCAGTTTTTCTTTGATCTCTGCCCGGACGTTGCCAACGGTGTCTGTCAGGTAGCCATATTTGTGATCATGCTGCAGTACCCAGCAATCCCAACAGATGGGGCACTTGCATGTCTCATAGTAGAATTTCAACTTGTCGTCCTCGTGTTTTGGACAGACTGACAGTGACCTTGACGTTTGGCACGATGGTGGGCAGAGGCACACTCATCGCATAAGAACTCTTCACAAGGGACACAGCCTTGGCTAGCCACTTCTTCCTCACAAAGATTACATTGCAATTTGTCATCCTTTTATTTATTTATTTATTAAGATTTACCACATTTGTGGAAGGATTGACATAACAGGTGACTTTCACCTTTTCAAAGATGTCAACCGGGAAGGTCCCCTACTCTTTTCGATAAGTGCGTGGGGTCTGGCTCTCCCAAACACGGGACCTCCATTCAACGTCCTATCCGAGGGTCAGAGAAACAACTCACAGCACATTTTGAAAGATAACACGGAAGAACACACGTAATTCTGGGAGCAATGAAATTGAACACGTTTCGTCGAAAATGATTAGTTGACCAATAGTGTCAAAACAGCAAAAACTTTGGGTAATGTTAGGTTAACTTCGTAGTCTAACCACATAAACACGTAGTACATTACAGTGGCCCTCTCCACAGCAGATAGTAGGGCGGTTATAAAAATACCTCAAGGGGAAGTATTCATTACGTTTTTCGTCCCGTTTGATATTGTTAAATCCCGTTTAATTGTTCTGGAACAAGGCATCATCATTATAACTACTAGTAGCAGTTCGATTCAGGGGACATCGACAATGTAGCATGTAAGGATAGTTTCTGCAGTCTATCGTATTTTATTGTACAAAGCAATGCTATTTTGGCAACATTCAGTTGTAACGTTACAAAACCACCGTTCCTTATGACGTCACAAGGTGGCGTTGTTTTCCTCCATGTTACAATGATGGAGACGTTGCTAGGTAACCCAGTTGTTGACAGCGCCGCCATGTCTAACAACATGCACCGACGGGGCCGAATCGACCGGCAATGACTTCTCCGTAAACCATCAAATAAAACACGAGTCTTCACGACAGATAAAGGCTCACACAAAACAGTGTAAACCCGCAGCAATTAATACAGCAACGACATGCACCACAATGGTAAGATTTCGCTTTCTTTTGCTGCTTTTTCAAAAAGTGATCACTCTCAGGCCCGGTCAAACGTACGTGTTGCTACATTGTTACAGTTAGTCCTGTAACATGACCTACGTGTGTATCAAGACCTACATTTGCCACATATAACTGTAACGCCATTATATATTTTGTAACTAAGAAGTGCCATCTTTGATTGCAGAGGACTGCCAGAAGGAGTGTTTTATGTCTTAGCTCACTGCACAATGCAGCATTTTGGTATTGAGGCTATAAGTTTGTACCAAACTGCACTACATTGCGATACCCCCCTCCCCATGTTTGCTATTCCTCGATACCCTGGATGCCAAAACTAGTATCGGGCCGTTAGCCGTTTTCCTTCGGCAGCCGAGAGCCCTTTGCCCGCCTGCCTAAATTAGCGCTACGGGGGAGTTGAGCCCGAGGGGTTTGTCCGGCCCTTTACGATGTAGGGCCAGCCAAACTCCCCCCGGGCTAGACTCCCCCGTAGCGGTAATTTACATCAGCGGGCGAAGGGCTCTTGCGGCCCGGAAAACGAGTTCTGGATTCCAGGGTAATTCCTCGATGGCTTGATATGCATATGCCGTACAGGAGGGAAGGCATCCGTCACAAACGTGTTCGCCTCCAAACATTTCTAAGCCATCAATTAATGTTTTCCTTTTTTTAACGTTAACGTTTAGGTTACACATACTGAACTTGATATCATCTGAGGGCACCATATTTTTACTTGGCAACGGCGTTGTCGACAGCAAGGTGATGAACTCCCTAAAATCAGCAGACCTTTTTCTGTTTGCAGTAACATTTTTTGACAGATCAAAATCACTTTATTTTAGGTGTTCCACATTTAACTTTGATATGAAATATTGTGTCATCTACATTAGTATACCGTGTTCTAGAGCAAGTGATGAGTTGAGGTCATCTAAGGTCAGTTGCTAAGCAACGGTGCTGTTTGCAAACAACCCCGCCTACCAGCTGGGGCTGGGCCGTGGCCGGAGGCGTCCGCAGAAGAAGACTTTCCTGATAATATAAGAACTATTAAACGGATTTGGACGGCAATTAGAATTGATAATAACATAAAACAATCTTTTGCAGGTCCTGCAGAACCGACAAGAGGTAGGATTGCCCTTCTTTTATGTCTCGCGTTTGCCTGTGTTTACGTAGTGTGGTGGCGGCGCAGCACACGTGGTGAAAATGTTCTAAAGTACTGAAATATTCGCAGCGGTTTGCTGCCATGGCTAGCATCGCGTTACTACAGCTGATTGTATTCTCTCTCTATGGCAATCACTCGTGATCTTTATTTGAAATCGGATCCAGATTCATGTACAGATATACAGATACAGACTTTCCTAGTAGGATGACCGTGTTAGTCCCTACACCTGAATGAGGGTTACAGTTGACACGGTGGCCTTCGCGTGGATTTGTTTAAGGTGGATAACAGCTGATTGTATTATAATTACAGTATTTGTGACATCCAGGCTGTGTTGGTCAAGTACATTGAAGTACGTCAATCTATTTCAGTTTTAGAGGTTTCACTGAGTAGTTAATGTTACTTGTACAGAAGGAATGTAAATTTTGAGATGAAAATAATCCCCACACAGGCTGAGAGGAAGTGACAATGGAATCAGCTGCGAATCAAGAAAGAAATTCACAACACCTTCGGTTGGGGAACGGTATTTAGGTCACCTTGTGGCGCCGAATGGCAGCCGCACAGACCCTTGTGACAGTTCCACAAAAGTGTGTGAAGCAAATATGTTTTGTGTA